ATCAGAGAAGCTGGATTAGAGTGGTCGTCTCTATCAACAAAAAGACATATGCACAAACACACAAATAGGAGATATATGTACATACCTGCCTGAAAGTATGGGCTTCACTCCCAACCAAAATCCCACCTTGGCCAAGGCTTCAGGGCTGTTCCCTTTGATTTTCGCTCCCTTTTTTCTCGAGTTCTCCCTCCTTGTCAGGTCCTTTGCTGGCACTACCACCTGCTTTTCTAGAATGAAACAGAAAGCATACATGGATGGACATGTGATGATTGCTGGGTTTTTCCCTCTCTACACTTTGGGAACAGATCACAGAAACAGCGATCTTTCTATCCATGAAGAGAACACGCTGTAAGTACTTCCTCTTTTCATTTCCACTTACTGTTTGTTTCTTAGGATTGGCAATGACTAAAGGGATGCTGGGTAGGCACATTAATGCTCCCTATCCTCTACTCTGACCTCCCAACCTCTACTCCACCAGACACAGCCCTCACTTAACTTTATGTCTATTGTTGAGTGTTTTTATGCTTTCATGGTAAATGAGATCACTCTGGGTTTCTTCCTTGTAAATTCTTTCCAGGTCTGTGAACCCTTCACTTTACTCCAGCAGTGTATCTCCTCCATCCTGGTTGTTGTTAGCAAGGATGAAGTGGTGATTTAAAACTTGAGTCAGTGAGTTCTGCAGTTCTGCAGACACATTTCCTTTCCCTTTTTTAAAATTTAATTTTATTGTCAAGGTGATGAAGAGAGGGGTTAGTTACATAAGTAAGGTAGTGAGTACATTCCTTGTCGAGCTTGTTACTCCTCCTTCATTTTTCTCCCATGGTCCCTCCCCTCAATCCTCCAAGCTATGCAGTTCACTTCCAACATATTGTCTTGTGAGTATAACTGTTGCATGGTTTCTCCCTTTATCCTTTGTCTCACTATTTTGTTGTTCACTTCCCTTCCCTTATTCAGATAAATGTATATACAATACCCAGGTTACCAAAATCAAATACGGTGACAACAGGGGATAAACTATAGGGGAACAAATGAAAAAAGAAATCACATAGTACATTAAAAACAAGAACAACAAATAAAAACTTCTTGTTTCCATATCTTGGAGTTCATTTCTTTTAGCATCATCTTATATGATCATATCTATTGAGATATTCTGTTCATCTGCTAGGATTATCCTAGACATGTTTCATTCCTACAGGCTAGTAGTCTGAAGTTTTCCTTAATGTTTATTATGTGACCTATATTTTGTCAATCTTAGTAGAAAAAAATTTGTACTGTAGAGATGCAAATTGGGCAATGTATTATTATTATTATTGTCAGTTGTGGGGCCTGAACTCAGTGACTGGGCACACTCCCTGAGCACTTTTACTAAAGGCTAGCACTCTACCACTTTTTGAGCCATTTTTTTCTGATGGTTAATTGGAGATAAGTCACAAACTTTCTTGTCTGGGCTAGATTTGAACTGTGATGCTCAGATATAAGCCTCCTGTATAGCTAGGATAATAGGAATGAGTCATTATTTTATGTCAGATTTACTGCATGAAGCCAGGTAAGCCAGTAACCACACCTTCCTTATGAGATATTTGCCTAAAATGAATACTGCATTGCTTGTGCACATTCACCCCCTCAGGTTTTTTCTGCCACAAAAAGTCTCATTAATAAATGGCTAAGGAGGAATTTCAAGAAGTTCTAGCAGCCTGTTTGATTCCTATGGCAAGAGAAAATGTGATTGTCTCTTTTTTTGTATTTGTTATTGTAAAAATGCTGTACAGAGGGGTTACAGTTACATGAGCAAGGTATTGAGAATATTTCCTATTGAGCATTGTTGCCTCCTCCTTTGTTTTTCCCCTACCATTCCTTCCCTCCCAATTCTATAACTTAGCCCGCCCCCCTGCCCCCCACCAAAGCTGTAAAGTTTGTTTTCAACATTGTGTTTTGTATATCTCATTGTTACAACCTATATCCTTATTTAAGCATTTTGTTTTATTCCCTTCCCCTACCTGAATTAGAGAAGTGTATATACAAGATGCAGGGCACCGACATCAAATACAGTGAAAATAGGGGATAAGCCATGGGGGAGGAACATACAAAACAACAAAAAAATCACATGGTACATTATAAACGTTAGAAACAATAGCAAGAAAGAAAAAAAGATATTTGTGTCCATATCTTGGAATTCATATTGCTTTACATCATCTTATATGGTCATATGTACATAGCTTTTGACGTTTTCTGCTTGTCCTACACATGTACTAGTTATTGCAAATAAGGGAAACCATGGGACCTATGTTTCTTTGGGCCTGGCTTACTTCACTTAATATAATTTTTTCCAAGTCTTTCCATTTCAAAATGTGGTACACACACTCACTCACGCACACACACACACATATGTATATATATATAATGGAATTCTATGCCTCCATCAGAAAGAATGACATTGCCCCATTGTCTCTGTTTTTAAGTGCTGGTGTGACAAGTATAAGCTGAGGTGGCTGCCCACACTTAGCAGTAGAGAATATCTATATATCTATATATATCTTATGTGTGCTTATCTTTCTTATTCTCCACTATTTTCTCACAGTTATTGGATTTTCATTCTCTTAACTTCCCAAGATATATTTAAATATTTTTATTTTCTGGGCTAAAATAGACATATTGAGTATCAAAGTTACTGCTGGTGGATACTTTTAAATAGCTAATGTTGTTTAGCAGTACTTAAGGTCTGGATGTGGTAGTCTGGAAAAATCTGATCTTAATTTGAGCTTTTTAAAAATTTTATCATCTTGAAGTTGTATGAGGCGTTGCCATTTATCAAAGCAGTTTATGAATACAGTGCATAGATGTCTCTCAGTAGATGAAAGGATCAAGAAAATGGGATATCTATATCTATATATAGATATAGATATGAATTCTATGCCTCCATGAAGAATGACACTGCTCCATTTGTTTGGAAATGGAAAGACTTGGAAAAAATTATACTAAGTGAAGTAATCCAGAACCAAAGAAATAAAGGTCCCATAGTTTTCCTTATTTGCATTAAGGGAATATACGTCTAGGATAATCTTAACTGACAAGTAGTAAAGGGCAAAAGCTATGCACATATGACCATATAAAATGATGCTATGAACCTCAAGATAGGGACACAAGAGGTTTTATCTTTGTTGCTATTGTTTTAATGTACTTAAAATGTACTATGTGATTTCTTTTGTTTCTTTCCTATGTTCTTCCCCCATGGTATAACCTCTGTTTTTACTGTATTTGATTCTGGTGCCCTGCATATTGTATATACATTTTTATATTTTGGGGAGTGGAAGGGAAATAACAAAATGCTGAAATAAGGATACAGGTTGACCCAGTGTAACAAGGAGATGTACAAGACACTATGTTAAAAATGAACTTTACAATTGACATGGAGGTGGGGAAGGGTGGGGGAAGGAGTTGCGGAGTTGGGGTAAAACAAAAGAGGGGGTAACTGATCAAGAGAAAATGTACTCATTACCTTACTAATGGTAACTGTAATCCCTTTAAAAGTATCTTTACAATAAAAACATATATTAAAAAATTTTAAATTCTGTAGGAGATATTGAATTCTTGACTATATTCTTCCCCACTTTTCTTTTACTCTTGACCTCACCCCATCCCTTTCAAGTAGTCAGTTCCTGGTGTTTATTTTGTTGAACTCTGCCTTTGCAGAGTTATTTGAAATCTATCGAATCTATTGTATTTCAGTTAGTTCATTTGTATACACTTGCATACCATTCAACATTTTTACTTATATGTTTACAAATGAATTCTTGCATCACATTTGAGGGAAAACATGAAAACTTTTTTTGAAAATTGTGAAAATACCGTACAGAGGGGTTACAATTACATGGGCAAGGTATTGAGTATATTTCTTATCAAACATTGTTGCCTCCTCCTTTGTTTCCCCTTCCCATCCTTTCCCATTCCTCCCCTTTCCAAAACCCCCCACCCTCGCCAAGGTTATAAAATTCATTTTTTGATATAATGACTTGTACATCTGATTGTTGCAATGGGTCCACTTGCATCCCTATTTAAATGATTTGTTTTTTCCTTCCCCTCCACAAATTATACCAACATCAAATACAGTGAAAACAGGGTTTTATACAGTGGGGGAGGGACATAGAAAGCAACAAAGAAATAATCTTATAAATATGTTAGAAACAATCGCAAGAAAGAAAAAAAATTGAATCTTTATCTTGGGGTTCATTTCGCCTAACATCAACTTATCTGACCATATCTGCTTGTCTCAGACATATACTAGTTATTCCAAATAAGGGAAACCATGGGACCTATTTTTTAGGGGCCTGGCTTATTTCACTTCTTTCCATTTCCTAACAAATTGGGCAATGTCATTCTTTCTGATGGAGGCACAGAATTCCATTGTGTATATATACCACATTTTCTTGATCCATTCATCTACTGAGGGGCATCTGGGTTGGTTCCATATCTTAGCTATGGTATATAATGCTGCAATAAACATAGTTGTGCTGGTAGCTTTATTATGGTCTTGTTTGTGATCATTTGGGTAAATGCCCAACAGTGGGATTGCTGGGTCATAGGGGAGCTCTATGTAGAGTCTTTTGCGGAACCTCCAGACTACTTTGCAAAGTGGTTGAGGAAGTTCACATTCTCACAAAAACGCAGTAGGGTTCCCTTCTATCGACATCCCCTCCAGCATCTGTTGTTATTAGAGTTCTTGATTATAGCCATTCTAACTGGGGTGAGGTGGTATCTCAATGTTGTTTTGATTTGCATTTCTTTTATGACTAGGGAGTTGAGCATTTCTTCATGTGTCCATTGGCCATCCTTCTTTACTTTTCAGAGAAATTTCTCTTTAAGTCTTTAGTTTGTTTCTTTGAAGATTTGTTGTTGGGGGATTTAATTTTTTGAGTTACATCTATATTTTAGATATGAGACTATTGTTCATTGTATGGCTAGTGAAGATCTTCTCCCAATCCGTGGGCTTTCTATTGATCTTGCTAACTATGTCCTTTGCTATGCAGAAGCTCTGCAATTTCAGGCAATCCCATTTGTCCAACCTTTCTTTGATTTGTGTTTCTTGGTGTCTATTAAGAAAATTTCGGCCTGTGAGAAAGAGACCTAGGGTTTCTCCTATTCCTTCCTGTAATGTTTTCAGAGTGTCTGCTTTGACTCCTACGTCTTTGATCAATTTGGAGTTGATTCTGGTGCAGGATGATATATAAGGATGTGTTTAACCAATTTTGCCAGCACCATTTATTTGAAAGGCTGTCTTTCTTCCATTCTAATTTTTTAGCTCCCTTATAGAAGATTAGATGGCTATAGGTCTTTAGGTTCATTTCTGGGTTTTCAATTCTATTCCATTGGTCCTGAGGTCTGTTCTTGTGCCAGTACCAAGCTGTTTTGATTACTATGGCTTTGTAGTAGTTTCAAATTTGGTATTGATATTCCTCCAGCACTGTTCTTTCTGTTAAGGATTGTTTTTGCTATTTGGGTCTTTTATTGTTCCATATGAATTTTTGGATTGCCTCTTCTATTTGCTTGAAGAATGAGGTTGGAATATTGATAGGTATTGCATTGAATTTGTAGATAGCTTTGGAAAGTATTGCCATTTTCATGATGTTAATCTTTCCAATCCAGGAGCATGGGAGGTTTTGCCACTTTCTAAGTTCTGTTTTGATTTCCTTTTTCAAGATTTTAAAGTTTTTATCATAGAGGTCCTTCACTGCTTTGGCTAAGTTAAATCCTAGGTATTTTATTTTTTGTGGGGTGATTGCAAATGGAGTTGCTTTCCTAATTTCAGCCACACTTTTCTCATTGTTGGCATACAGAAAAGCCATTGATTTTGAGGGTTAATTTTATACTCTGCTACTTTGCCAAATTTTGAAACAGCTTGAGTAATTTGGGAATGGAGTCTGTGGGATTCTTTAAATACAAGATCATGTCATCTGCAAAGAGGGAGAGTTTTACTTCATCTTTTCCTATTTGGATCCTTTTTATGTTTGCATCTTGTCTTATTGCTGTAGCTAGGCATTCTGATACTAGATTGAAGAGAAGAGGAGAGAGTGGACATCCTTGTCTCATTCCTGAGTTAAGAGGAAATGGCTTTTGTTTTTCACTATTAAGTATAATGCTGGCTGTAGGTTTGTCATGTACAGCCTTTGTTGTATTGAGGAATGTTCCATGGATTCCTAATTTTTACAGAGCCTTCATCATAGAGGGGTGTTGGATCTTATGAAATGTTTTTTCTTTATCTATCAAATTAACCATGTGGTTCTTATCCTTGTTCTTGTTGATGTGATGAATTATATTAATAGATTTGTGTATAATGAACCAGCTTTGCATCCCTGAAATGAATCCTGTTTGATCGTGGTGTATGATTTTTGGATGAATTAAAACCTGTAATCTTTGTCTTGCTTGGCCTGAGTTACTTCACAACATAATTTTTCCAGGTCCTTCCATTTCTTTGTAAATGATATGGTAATGTATATATCCCATGTTTTTGTAATAATTCATCCTTTGAGGGCCGTTTGAGCTGATTTCATACCTTAGCTATGGTGAATAGTTCTGCAATGAACATGTGTGCTCTTGGCCTTACAATATACTGGAGCTTAAGATAAATGGTCAGGAGTGGAATTGCTACATCATAAAGTAGGTATATATTTAGTTTGTTTTGAGGAATCTCCAAACTACTTTCCAGAATGTTTGAACAAGTTTACATTTCCACCAACAGTGTATTGGAGTTCCCTTTTGATCACATCTTCACCAGCATGTTATTGTTGTCTTGAATTTTATCATATTGTAACCAAATTTTGTGTATGGCATGGCTTAAAGATAGTAGTATTTTACCCATAAAATTATTGTCAATTACTGTCAAATTATTGTCAATTATTTTTCCCTCCAATCCTCACCCACAAATTGTATAGTTCATTTTCAGCATGGTGCCTAGTCTTTTCTTAGTCTTTTGTTAGTCTTTTCTCCCTCCATTTCTGTTTTCCCTCTCAAAGATATATAAACAAACAAGACAGAAAGCAAAAACAAAAACCTTCATTTCTATTTTCTGGAGTTCATTTCAATAAATATTATTTTATATGGTTAGAGGCACTCTGGCATTGTGCTTTTGTTCTCCTCCCCTATGCTCATCCTCCTTTGGTCTCACTGTGTATGAATGCACAGAGTCCTGTATAATTTTTTATACCCAATTGTATTTTAGAACTAGCTCCTGCATATGAGCAAAAATATGCAGCATTGTGTCTCTGAACTTGGCTTATCTCACTTAACATGGTTTGTTCTAAGTACATCCATTTCCAGCAAATGGCATATTATTCTCTCTAATGGCTACGTAAAATTCCATTGTGTATAGGCACCACAGTTTTGATCCACTCATTTTTTGTAGGGCATCTGGACTTGTTTTTATAATTTAGCTATTGTGAATAGTACAGCAATGAACATCATAAGTCTTTCTGGTATCCTGGCTTGTGATGTTCTGGGTAGATGCCCAGGAGTGATATGGCTGGCTTGTAGTAAAGATCTATGTTTTATTTTTGGAGGAAATTGCAGACTACTGTCCTGTGTTATTTTCAGGGATATTTCCTTCAGGCTATTAATAATTTAGTTCTTTGTGAGGGCAGTCCTATAACTTGAACTCAGTGCATCAGGCTGTTGCTTGGCGTTTTCACTCATCATTGGCATTCTACTGCTTAAGCCATACCTCTCTTTTCTCAAAATATTGAACTATGTTACCTCAGTAATATAAAGGAGTCCCATACATGTTCATTGCCTGTGGAACAAGTTATAATTCCATATATGTACATTGTGCCTGCGTAACAAGTACATTCTCTTATTTATATTTGTATTCCCCAATCCATTCATCTGCTTTTCCAGTCTGTTGCAAATTGTTATGCTATTTTCATATATATGTATGTATACACATATACAGAGATAGAGAGAAGATAGAGAGATGGTATTTAGATCGCTTCATTACTCAGGATCCTTTCCTTTTCACAATCTCAATTTAATTATATTGTGAGACTAGTGCATTTCCATCACTGAATTCCAACATATTTGCTTTGGTACTGCTTGAATGCAGTCTCTCCATTACTTCAAATTTGGGAGCTCCTCTCTACAGATGGGTTAACAGTGTTGGGCAGAATAAGCTGGAAAACTACTTTGTAGTGCACTTATATGACATCTTTTTTGTTTTGTTACAAAAATCAGAACTATGTCTCATAGTTCTCATTGTACTTTAGTTCTGATAGAGGTTACAGGAAGAGCAGTTTATTATGTGAGAGAAGCTTGCCACACTTTGCCTTACTTCTGGAAGTTCTTCTTTGAGACATTTATACAACCACATGAGATAAACTGGGTGACTTTAAACAGAAAAATTTACTTTTCACACATGTGGATCAAGAGAAGAGATAGTTGGTATTTCATCTATGACAAAATGCAGGCATATTTCCTGTTCACAGATACTATTTTTTGGTGTGTTGCACTTGACAAAGAGAAAAAATGAGAGTGATCTGGGATAAGAACGTTATTCATAACAAATACCCTTTCATTCATTAGTTTAAATCAGAATAAACAACTATATTGTCAAAACAATTTTGAACTGTGCTTCCTTAGTTCCTATGTTACTTGCTCAGGTTTATCTTCAAGAACTACCAAATGGTTCTGGCCTTGGCATTTGCTATTGAAGAAATCAACAAGAACTCTGATGTTTTAGACAACATGACTCTTGGATTTGACATCTATAATATGGATTTCAGAGCTTGGTCAGCATTTGAAAACCCCTTTATTTGGCTTTCTGGACAGTACAACATCCCAAACTACTCCTGTTTGAGAGAAAGTAAATCTGTAGCAGTACTTACAAGAACATCAGGAACAACATCTGCCCAGATTGGGCAACTGTTGGAACTCTACAAATTTCCACAGGTGACGGTAAGAAAGATTAAAAAATATAGCTGGGTGGCAGTGGCTCACGCCTGTAATCCTAACTGCTCTGGAGACTGAGATCTGAGGATCACAGTTCAAAGCCATCCTGGGTAGGAAAGGCCATGAGAGTCTTATCTCCAATAAACCACCAGAAAATTAGAAGTGGCTCTGTAGCTTAAGTGATAGTGCAATTGCCTTAAGCTGAAGGGCACAAGGACAGTACCCAGGCCCAGAGTTCAAGCCCCACAACTGACAATCAATCAATCAATCACTCAAGTGTCTTTGGTGTTATTTTCAGGTGTGTGAAGAGAGTGATAGGAAAAGGTTGGATTAATGGGCCAAGCTTGGTGGCGGTAAGGGTATTTACATTCTACTCTTTGGAGGAGGTTGGATCAGACAAAGGAATTACCTGGAGCACTGAGCTCATCAATAATTTTCTAGAAACTGCTCAGGATTTGGTGAATGACTTTAAAATTCCTACCACTTTTGACTGTTATTTATTAATACAGATTAGGACTCAAATTGTGACTTTTGGTTATTGTTTTATTCACATAGCCTACAATTTTCTTTTCCTTTTAGGTCACCTTTGGGCCTTTTGATCCTATCCTTAGTGACCACAGCCAGTTTCCTTCTCTCTATCAGATGGCACCAAAGGACACATCTCTAGCCATTGCCACAGTCTCCTTGATGCTTCATTTCAGCTGGAACTGGGTGGGATTATTGATCTCAATGGATGAGAAGGGTTTATGGATCCTTCCACAACTGAGGGATGAGATGTCCAAGAATGAAGTCTGTGTAGCCTTTGAGGAAATGATCCCAGGCAGTGTCTTTACAGAAATGTCAAAAATCATAGGAATATACAACCAAATTAATACATCATCAGCAAACGTCTTCATTATTTTTGGTGACACTGAAACCATTGCAGACTTGATGTATTCTGTACCACTTTTAATAAAAGGCAAAGTTTGTATCATGAATTCACAGTGGGATTTAACCAGAAAGAGAGATTTCGTGTTAGGCTCATTCCATGTGCCTCTCATTTTTTCACACCACCATTCAGATATTTCTGGATTCCAAGATTTTTTAAGGACAGTTAACCCTTCCAAATACCCAGGTGACTATTTTCTTGCTAGGTTGTGGCTCCTTCATTTTAATTGCTCAGATTCTGAGATTGATTGCTTAACATGGGAGAACTGTCCACAGAATGCTTCCTTGGAATGGTTGCCTGGGCAGGTTTTTGACATGGCCATGTCTGAAGAGAGTTACAATATATACAATGCTGTGTATGCTGTGGCACAGGCCCTCCATGAAATGCTTTTTCATCATACAGAAGAGCCACCATTGAGAAATAGGAAAGGGATGGTGTCTTCCCCTGCACAGGTAATGCCTTTGATGTTATAAAGCACACACTATGAGCAAAGTGGTTTTCTAAAGGACTTTTACAGAGGTTTAAGCTAAGTGTTTTCAGATCTTTTTATGAGAGTTCAAGAGAAAGTATAGTTATTTAAGCGAATATGAGATGTATCTGTGTTTGTGTGTTCTTAAAGAAAACATGCCAGTGAGAAGGAAGAAATATGTTTCACATTCCCAACAATGTTTTATGTGGCAATCACCTTACTATGCTTACACAGAGAATTTTAATAGTATAAATTCAGCTTTTCCCTATGAGATTCTTAAATAATAGCAGAGGATATTATGCTCCCTTTGTACTTAAGTTTAAGTCCTGCAGAACACAATTACCATATGTTACACACACAATCTTGTTTAAAACACTTAAGGTATTACCAGTTTAAGAAAACGAAACTTTGTGAACATTTACCCAAATCTTGTGTCAAGCTGTTGCTAGGCAACTTAGAGCAGTCTCATTCATGACTATGTAGATGAATGTGTTTTCTTTTAACAGCATCTTTATGATCTTATCCTGACTGACTAGGGTTTAGACACATTATGATATTGTAGTCCTTTAAGTCTTTCTTTTATTTATTTGATTAGATATCTGTGTTATACTTCAACTATGAAGTATCAATTAGACACAGTTTAATTCAGGTTTTCTGTCTGAATTCTGCAATGCCTTTCACCTTAGAACTATGTATTTCTTGTAGTTGCACCCCTTTCTGAAACACATTGAGTTTAACAATCCTGCTGGAGAGCAAGTGATTATGGATGAAAAAAGGAAACCGGAAGCAGAGTATGACATTGTGAATATTTGGAACATTCCAAAAGGTCTTGACCTTAAGGTGAAAGTTGGAATGTTTTCTCCACATGGTCAACAATTGTTTTTATCTGAAGATATGATAGAGTGGACCATAGGAACTACAGCAGTGAGTTGGATCTTTGGACATGCTCGATATAATGTTCCCCCAGATTTTGTGCTTTATAAGACACCAGTAATATATATTTAACAAGTTCCAACATAAAGAAATTTCTTATTGGTTCAATTTTAGATGGAAACAGAATATACTAACTTACCAGAGTTTCTAAATATTCTGATATTACATATCAAATTATTAATGGCACCCATTTTTTTAAAAATCAGGTTTCTATCACCGTTACAATATAGCTGTACACAGAAAGTTCACAAGGGCAAGGTGAGGAGAAAATAATGGGAAAGGTGACACTGATCAAGATATAATGAACACAGCATTTGATATGTTGAAACCTCTTTGCAAAAATATTCAGGATAATTAAAAAATAAGAATATATAGAGACAAAATAGACATTTTTTAACTTAGTTATCTGATTATGAACTTTTGGAAGTGCTAGGTAAAATGTGAACAGTTTCAATGTGTATCTCATTTTCCTCAGACACTTCACTCTGTTTGCAGTGAGAGTTGTGGGCCTGGATTCAGAAAATCCCCTCAGGAGGGAAAGGCTGCCTGTTGCTTTGATTGCATCTCTTGCCCAGAGAATGAAATTGCTAATGGGACAGGTAAATCCTTGACTTATGAAGAAATTCATCTCTTCCTAGTTTTCCCCAAGCGAACCAAAAGTTGTGTTTTAGGATTACAGAGACAAAGTCTTCCTTTCTTCAGTTTTTTTCTGGTCCAGAGGCCTGAATTCTGGGTATGAGATTTTGTGCACAGGTTAGCACATAATTGCTTGAGCTATAGCTCACCTTAGAGCTTTTTGCTGTTAACTTGTGGTAAGAGTCTCATAGACTTTCCTGCATTGACTGGTTTCAAACTCTGATCCTCAGATCTCAGATTCCTGAGTAGTTAGGATTATATGTGATAGCCACTAGCACCTGACTAGTATTTTAATGTAGCAATTGATATTACTCCTTGAAATGACACAAATCCTGGCTCTGAATTATGTACTGATTTTTGTTCAGTTATATTCAATATTATCTGAAGAAAACTCATTATATCACTCACTAACAAGTAACTTTACCATGGAAGTAGATACAATCTTGATTAAGGATAACATTCATCCTCTTCTAAAGTACACTAAGACAATTAACATCATAGATATTGCAGTCTTTATTTCCTAGTATTCATAACTGTTCTTGCCACAGAGCAAATGCTCAGAAAATTGCTTTCAGGTTAAGATGTAGGCACAAGCATTATACATAGCATAACTTTGGAACTTCCAAGAGTTGTTTGATTCTTTGTTTGCCCTGCTTCTCAGGCACGTGGGTGAGACAAATATAATGAGATGGATTAAAAAGACATTTCTATTATCATATTCACAAAGACATTTAGGAAGTATAATCTACAATTTGACACGTCATATCATATAGCACAGGAAAAACATGTGGTTAAAAAGTGTCCATTTTGAATATATGGAAAAGTTACTGAAAGTAATAATTTTTCAATCATAGGGAAAAACATAAGGTGGAAATGAGGTGGGAATATGAGGTAAAGAAGTGACAAATAGCAACACTAAAGATTTCTAGTAATAATGATATTTACTTTTATGGTAATAAATAGTGACTCCTTAGAATTAACTCTAAGTGGGGATTTTCTCAGAAGGGACTAATGGTAATTCACGCTTCTTACTAGAAAGGAACCAGTGTGTAAAGTGTCCAGATCATCAGTATGCCAACACGGAGAGAAACCAGTGCCTCATAAGAGCTGAAAGTTTCCTGGCTTTTGGAGATGCCTTGGGGATGATCCTGGCATGCATGGCTCTTTGCTTCTCTATGATCACTGCTGTTGTTCTTGGGGTTTTTGTGAAGTACAAAGACACTCCCACTGTCAAAGCCAATAACAGGACTCTCAGCTACATCCTGCTCATATCCCTCATCTCCTGTTTCCTTTGCTCTTTCCTTTTTATTGGTCGTCCCAATCCAGTCACCTGTATCCTACAGCAAACCGCATTTGGAATTGTGTTCACTGTGGCCATTTCTACTGTCTTGGCCAAAACAGTGACCGTGGTTCTGGCCTTCAAGGCCACTTCTCCAGGAAGAACAATGAGGTGGCTGCTGGTATCAGGGGCTCCTAACTTCATCATCCCCATCTGCACCCTCATCCAGATGACCCTCTGTGGACTCTGGCTAGGAATCAACCCTCCTTTTATTGACATAGATACACACTTGGAACATGGTCAAATCATCATCCTTTGCAACAAGGGCTCCCTCACTGCCTTCTACTGTGTCCTGGGATACCTGGCTTCCCTGGCCTTGGCCAGCTTCACTGTGGCTTTTCTGGCCAGGAACCTGCCTGACACCTTCAATGAAGCCAAGTTCCTGACCTTCAGCATGCTGGTGTTCTGCAGTGTGTGGCTCACCTTCCTTCCTGCCTACCACAGTGCCAAGGGGAAGGTCATGGTGGCTGTGGAAGTGTTTTCCATCTTGGCCTCCAGTGCAGGGCTCCTGGTCTGCATCTTTTTCCCCAAGTGCTATAGCATCTTGTTAAGGCCAGACAGAAATTCTTTGCATAGCTTTAAAAATAAAGCAAATGTGAAGAAATAAGTCTTCTTAAGATTCAACTTGTATTTTGTTGAATGAAGCACTAAGCTACGTCTATACCTTTTGTTTCAATGATCTTTTTGTTTAAATTGTTGGAATTATTTCAAATGACTTTTACTCATTATATAGTACTGGTACAGTCATAACTATTTTATTATGTATATTTTTCTATTTAATATGTACTAAATCCTTTCATTCCCATCTAGTACTTCCTATGTATAAGACTATAGAGCCAACCCAAGCACCACAAAAAGTTTCAAGCATGTGAAAACAAATGTACATTTTGAGAAGAGGGTCTTTGTTCACATATAACATCATTGTCTAAATAGCTAATCCCAAAAGAAACAACTAAGCACTCCTAGAAGATTGTAGAAATATCATACAACACTTGAATGATACACAAAAGGCATTATTTGGCTATATTCACTGTAAGCAAGTGGACTTGAAAGTAAAAAAAGAATATAATATACATAGGATAAACAGGAAATGCAATTAGTGGAGGAATGGTGGTAGGCATGTAGAGACAGAAAGAGAGAAGAGAGGAAAGAGAAAGGTACACACAAAGAACATGAAAGTCCACATAGGAAATTAGGTGGAGTCAAACATCAATAAAAGTCTGATGAGCTGGATGTCAATGGATTATCCCTATACCTCTAGGTACTGAGGAAGGCTGAGATCTCAGGATTGCAGTTTGAAGGCATATTGGAGAGACCAAGCTGAGAGACTCTTATTTCCAATTAACTATCAGAAAGGTAAAAGAAGAGTCGTGTCTTAAGTGGTAGAATGCCAGACGAGCAAAAAAGGCTGAGTGGGAAGCATTGCAAGCCCCAGTACTAGTGAGCATTTGCATATGCATGTGCACACAGACACAAGTCTAATGAAAAACGCATTTGAAAACAAAATTTCTTCCTAAATTTGAATTATCCATTATGTATATACACCAAAAATATAATTCATTATGAAAAGGCACCTAGGACAAAAATCCTAACATAGGCAATAACAATGAAAGAAAACCAAAATAGAAACAAAGTACAGGCAGACAAAGGATGGAAGGAATGCATTGAAGTACAGCTTTTCACTTTCACCATATTTGCAAATATTATTACAGAGGAATCACCAAAAGAAAGACTGTTTTCAGATTATTAGATAATTGTGAATAAAAACTCAGCCAAAATCAAAGATAGGTAAAACCATAAAAAAGTTATTATTTAGTAAACAGATGGTAAACCTATAAAGAATGTACAACTAATCCCCTGGCAATTTCTTCAACAGATCAAGGTGCTCAACACTCCCTAGAAGACACTGAAAGTGATGATATGTAGTGGATTTTTTTCTAACACCTCGAGATATCAAATATGTGGTGCTTATTGACAAGAGTCAATTCTCAACAACAACTAGGTGTCCTTCAAGTAAGTTCTAACATCCCTGAGATTTAGCACAATTCATACAATATCAGGGCTCAGTCCCACCACACTGCCAGTGCTCCGTCTGGTCACCAGTCTAGTCCCTGAAGTGACAGAGGCTGGCACCCCGAGTCACCTCATTTACACCAATTATCCTCACCTTGTCTGGAAAAGGATTATGAACAGTAAAGACACTCCTATTGCTGAGGACATACCAGAACCTGACATAAAGATTTGTTTTGAAAAATTACACTACACAAAGGAGTTAAGGAGCGAGTTCTCAGAAATGGGTCTTGCTATGTACACCAAGCTGACTTTGAACTATGGATCCTCTTGCTTCCACCTCCTGAATATTGTGATTGTATGCATGTGCTGCCACACCTGAATGTTGATCTTTATGTTATGTATCAGCATGGATATAACTCTCTCTCTATATCAACATAGATATATCAACATAGCTTCACAGATTCTGTTATTTTTAGTTATGTTTTTGGAGAAATGAAATTTAAGAACACATGAAATGTGTTTCATGTGCATTCCTTTTATGTCTCATTGGAATATAAGCTGAAGCCACAGCAAAACCCATCAGAGATTATGGAAATAAAAGGAAACAAATTTTAGGCTAAAACAATAAACAGGAGTGAGGTCAGCCTCCAACTATGGAAAATATGATAATCTCGTAATATTGTAATTATACCAGTGGATTTACAAAGGAAACCTCCTAAGGAATCATCATTAATTACTCAGAAAAATAATACACTTTCATTGAGACATAAACTTAACATGCCAATATTTTTGAATTTGGAATAAACAAAGTGGTATTGTCAAACAGCAACAAACTGTTGTCACTGTTTTTGATTTCTGTACCCTTTGTCTTGTATATAAGTTTATTGATTTGGGGGAGGGAATACAAATCACAGAAATAGTGGGACAAAGAGTGAACCAATTCAACAGTGATGCTCACTAGACACTATGCTGGAAATGAACTTTACAACTGGGGGAGTGGGGAGGAAGTGGGAGAAAATGAGAGAGGAGGTAACACTGTTCAAAAAGTAATGTACACATTACCTAACTTATGTAACTGTAACCTTTCTGTATATAACCTGTACAATAAAATTTAAATAAAAAAATCACATTACACATCAGCTCTCAAATACACAAAACCTTTTTTGTCCTACAGGCAGAGACCAAAGATACCTTTCAGACTGTCTCCTTTCCCAGCCTTTCACAATTGGAACAAATTGTACTGTCTATACCAACCACTGAAGGCAAAAGAAAACAGTGAAATGCTTTTCCAAAGTGTTGTAATTCGCTGTGATTACATGACTTTGACCTCCAGACCTTTCTGCTGAGAAGTGTCATGGCATATGCAAACAAACTTCCAATACGGTTACATGAAGCTTCCCATCTTTGAACCCAATGAAATTTGTAAATTTCCAAGTTTTGTCTTAAGATGATAGGCTTAAACTAATGAGTTAGGAAGCTAACTTTTTAAAGCCTAAACCATCAAACTCTTCCTTTACTGTCACCATAAGAACAAGAGGATCATAGCAACAAAGAATCTTGTGGCTGGAAGCTGATTTCGCCATACTCTACACCAGACAGTAATACAGTAAGACAAACTTTGTTTATAAAACCAAGCTTAACTCAGAAGGCTGAGATCTGAGGATCAAGCTTTGAAACCAGCTTATGCAGGAAAGTTTGTGAGACTCTTATCTCCAGTAAACCACCAGAATTCCAGAAGTGGAGTTATGACTCAAGAGAGAAAGCTCTAGTGTTGAGGATAAAGCTGAGGGACAGCCCCTCCACCCTGAGTTTAAGCCACAGGACTTGAACACACACATACAAATAATAAAGTTCTACCAAAACAACACCACCACCAGTAACAACAAAACGAGCCTAGAAAGTCTGAGAACTGTAATAGGTCGTCAAAATCAGTGTCTCCCTTCTTACTCCAAACCCACTATGAGTACACGTGGATCCCCACTTTCCAGAAGTTGGGCCATGTAAGGGATACATGGAATCCGGGATTTATGGGCAAGTCTAAGCAATGGCCAGAGGGGAGAAGCTAAAAGCCTTAGAGGAAAAGGGATCCCACAAAAGAGAGAAGAGGAGGGGACACTGAGTCCCAAAACTCCTTTCTTGCACCAACTCTGCACACAAGCACAGTTTTCTCTTTGAGCAAGCGGCCATCGCAGCCACGGTTACTGCTCTGAAGAGACATGCCTGGTGGGCATAGAGCTACTCCGGGGAGCTGCTGGGAGCTGGCTTCCAGGGAACAGGTTATAGGCTGCAAGACTACCCTGCCCTGCAGGCCAGAGGGGACACAGCGCCCGCTGGGACAACTAAAGTCTAGTCCCAAGGACAACACAGCTGCCTCATGACAATGGGATGCCATTGCTACTTCAGGTTCCCATAGCTTCCCTTCCTCACTCACCATTTACTTCCTCTGGCATGTCAGATGGCTCTTCTATGGCTCCCAAATCAGCCACAGCAACAGTCACTAAGCTGCGCAACCATGGCCTCAAGGAGCCCTCCACCCCCCAAAAAGGCTGGAAACATGGCAGTGCCAGACAAGAAGCTGCTGCGCAGTACCTGGTGGCCCCTCCTACCATTGGCGCTCCTTTTCATTGGTCAGCTTCAGAGCCCAGAGACCGCGGTCCTGATTGGTTACTGATACGGGCCCCTCTCCCATTCAGGAATTAATCTGAATGATAAGCAAACATTTCTCATTCAGGCTAAGTAGGTCCTAAATAACAGATGCCAAGAAAAGCCCTTCCCTTCCTCCTTGGCTTTGCCTAGGGAGGAATTGTGATTCCCAGGCATTTGTGCCTGTCTTTCCATAGCAAGATGCCCATTCTTTCCTGTATGCAGGGGGCTCTTTCTGCTTCTTCCTTATGCAGATTTTGCCACAAGGGTTCTCAGTAAATTCTATATCCACTGTCTGTAGAGAAAACCCATATATTCAGTGGAGGGAGTCTGAACCCCAAAGCCAGTCTCAAGCGATTGTAATGAGGCTAAATCCTATTTTTTTCCACATACCTTATGCCTCAATCTATTTTTACAAGAAACTAACAACAAACCTACAAAATCCAATGAATGCAGACAAGAGAGCAATAATGACTGTACAACCAATTTAAGTGGATGGAAAAGCAACCTTTGAACCAGCTCATAAACAAAGTTGTCTGTGCATAAATTCACAAGGAAAACCCACAATTACAAGTTTGAACATATTCGCAAGCGTGAGAACAACATAGACTCTTTTAAGTTTTAACGTTTATTTTAAGTAGTTGACATAATGGGGTTTTACCCCCACATTGATTCTTGAAAGGATGCCCTGCAGTGGATCAGTGTCTAGTGATAATCACTCAAAGCAACTACTGAAAGATTTATCTCTGGGAAGCCTTATACCCTGCTTTCCACTTCCATTGGTTCAACTCTCCTTAACTTAAATACCTTACCATTCCACTTGTGATCATTAGAAACTGCTAAATGCTGGACACCAATGCCTTACATCTGTAAACCTAACTACTCAGGAGGCTGAGATCTGAGGATCAGTGCTCAAAGTCAGCCTAGGCAGTAAAAAAACCACTCTCAATC